TATAATTATTAATTCATATAAAATGTGATCAAATTTTAAATTCGAATATATTCGATAATATTGAAACTATATTATATTACTCTTTTTTTTTTGTTGTTGTAACGTTGATGATCTCAATTTTTGCATATATAAATAAATTTCACTTAAGAAAGCATTTCGAAAAAAAAAAAAAACTTTTCACTTAACAATTCAATTTTTATTTAAAAGATTATATAATCTTTTTAAATGAATTCATTTCTAAGTATCTGCATATTATTATTATTCTTATGTTATATTGTTGTTTTTTCTTATCATCTACTTCATGTCGATATATCGAACAGCCAACCTTTCATTTGAATATATATTGTCATTTTTCTTCTTCTTTATAGAGTATGTCTCTAAACGGACAAATAATAATATCGTTGCATCTTGTTGATTTCTTTTTCTAAATTATTAGTCTGAAGTAGAAAATGTAAGGCTATACAACAAAAAAAAAAAGAAGGAAGGGAGTGTTTTGTATCGATTGACAATTCTCTCATTGATGTTTTAGTATGAAGGAAGCCAATATAGAGAATTGATCTAAAGTGTTTTTTTGAACATTAATTATACAATAATTTGCTTCATTTTAGTTTCAATATATTAAAAATTATTCAAACGAATAACAACAACAACAAAAGGTATATAAATTTTTATTTCTTTCAAATTCTTTCTTTTTTTCTTGTCTGTATGTTTCAATTTTTGTTTGCATATACATACATCATTTCTTTTGTTGTTTTGATTTATTTATCGAGAGAAAAGACGAGAGAAAGAGAGAAAAAAAAAAGGAAAAATGAATGAAGTAAGAGGTTCGTGATTGTCAAGGTTGGTTTATATTTATTTTCTTTGAGGTTTTGAATAATCATGATCATAATATTAAATTAATAAAACAAACAGATAGAATAACTGGATCGAAGAAAAACTTATTACCAATCAACATTCATCATCACAAGAAGTATAAAAATTTATTTATTAAGAAATAGAAAATTATTATTATTATTATTATTATTATTCTTACATAATAGATTATAAATGAATATCATGAAGAATTAAGAATAAATTAAAAAAAAAAATACAAATAGAATGGAAAATATTATTCAACAAAATCCAATTTTATCTCAATCGAATCAAGATTCACGATTAAATCGTTCATTAGAAACAAGTCAAGTTGTTGCGGTTGCTGCATCTATTAATTTAAAAGTATAAAGTCCTTTGAAAATAATAGAATTTTTTTTCTTGTTATAAATTATGTACTTTTAAATATTATTGTTATAGAATCTTCTTTCTTATCAAGATGTTATGAATGCCATTGAACGTGATTATCATTTACATGAAGGACAAGAACGTGAAATAATTATGAAATTATGGTTAAAAGTACAAACAATGATTGCAATTTTACAACGTTTTAGATATTTATTACAAGATCTTAAGATAGATGATAAAGATTTTTCTGAAGGATTAAAAGTTTGTATAAATAATATTCACAATAATTTATTCAATATTTACAAAAAAAAAAGATTTCTATTAATACATATTTAACTATTGTTTATTCAAAATATGATTAGATTTTTTTCTGCTACATAAAACATATTCATATGTTCTTAAACAAAAAAAAAAGGGTTATAACTAATATGTTTTTATGTATTCGAAATACATATATATATATTTTTTTTTTTGTTGTACTGTTATTCTGAAGTATGTGTATGGGAATGAGATTTTATTTCTACATATTGTTATTGCATTCTTTAAACACTTGTAAGTTATCTTTCTCAGACAGCTATTCTATTTATATGTAATAAGTATCGTGTTGATATTTTTTTTCTTTTTGATCTAGAGATCGATTACATTTGAATTGTTTTTTTTTTGTTTTTATTTAGTAAATACGTGAAAAACTAAATTATGCTCATCGTAATGTATATTATCTTCAAGAAAAAAATCTTATACTTGAAAATCAAAATAATTTTCTTGAAAATGAATTTAAACGACAATTAGATAAAATAGTTGAAGAAAAAAATGAACATATTAATCGACTTATACATATTATTGATCAAACATATACACGATCAACTCAAATAAATAATCATATTAATGATGAATATTATTCATCAAGTAAATAAATAAAATAAATTTGATTATATTCTAAAAGTTAAAATAATAGACATTAAATATTTTATTAGTAGAAAAAAAAAA